ATTTATATAATAAATATAAATATAATTTAGAATAAAACTTATTTTGATAAATATTTATTATATATAATTTTATTTATATGTTTATTAATTTTATTTAGTTTAGGAATATTATTATTAATAATGTAATGTTTAATCTTAATCTTATATTAATAATAATTCACTAATTTTTATAAAGATGTTATTATTATTTATTATAGTCGTTAACTATAGTTACTTTATTCTAAATAGTTTTAAATTTCACTTAAATATCTGCTTAATCTTAAAAACTTATCTGATTTTTTAAGTAATATTAAATATTTCTAAACTTTACATTTAGAATATTTAGATTTTATAATATGATAATACAGATTTTTATTTATTTCTAAAAATTTTTTTAGTTATTTTAAAACTAAAACTTCTTATTTTACTAATAATATTCATAATTAAAAGAAAGCTTTTAAAATAAATTCTATTAAAATAATAGTTTCATTTTTTTTAAATATATTTAAAAAAATCTATCAACAAAAAAAAAATTAAAAATAGATTTTATATTTTTTCTTTAAATCAGATTAAACAAACTTTAATATATTAATTAATATAATAACTAATCAATCAATTAATGGTATTTTAATATTTTATTAATATATAATATTATTTAATTGAATTAATATTATTACTTGTGATTATTTTATCAATAAAAAATTTTTTAGTTAAATTTTAGATTTTCTCCCTTTCTATTAATAAGTACTTATATAATTTGAATATATTTTGTAAAAAATTTTTGATAATCTTTTTTAAAAAAAAAAAAAAAATCTTATAATTTTCTTCTACCTTTTTTTTCTAACTTTTAAAAATTTATTAATATTAAACAAAATTTATAAATATAGTAAAATTATTTTACTTGATAAATCTTATCCAATTTCTATTTTAAAGATAATTACAAAATAATAATTGTATATATTATACAGATAAACAACCAAGTATAAATGCTTTTTTTCAAAAAGCAAATCAGAGAAAAATGATAATAATGAAGAAAAAATGGAGAGTTTTAATATAAATATTATCTTTGAATTTATTTTTACAAATATTTTAATATTTAAAAAATAAATATTTATTTAAGGAATGGGCAATAAGTAGTATTGTTAAATTTACTCCTCATCATTACCATTATTAAAACTTCTTTAAAATACAAATTTACGGCAAATTTGGGCTACTATAAGTAATGAAGATGATGCAGAATTTTAGGCTAAATTAGCTCAATTGTGTTTAAGTAAAGCATTTAATGGAGATAATATTTTTACTAAATTTGTAGCTTTAATGATACAAGTTAAAGAAAGCAACTACAAGGTACAGTTTAAAAGGACTTTGATACTCTGTGCATTTTCTAGTTTGTATCTGAGAGCAGTCGAGAATATGAAATTTTTAGAAAGGCATTTTACTAGCATTCGGTTTAAAGAATCCGGTAGTTATTATTTTTTTATTTAAATGCTTTATATAATAAAATACAAAAAACAACTGTTGAAGTACTTGAAGATAAACATCCCAAATTAATCACATTTTACAAGTTCGCAGTATAGCATTAAAGGTAAATAATCATTAAATTATACATATTATTTTTAATTAATTAATAGCACATTTAATACGTCAATTAAATGAAATGGCATATATAGCAAATTTGAATATTTTGAGTTGGAGGGCTAAAAAAATATGCATAATGATCGCTTAATATTCTTAACAAGAATGAATTATGCGTGGTATCCATGCGAATATACTTACGTGGCACAGTATTGTGGAGATTACAATGTTGTGAAACGTATACAATAATAAAAATTCATGACTCCCCTACATATTATGAAGTAATTGTTACACATGATATTTTTTAAAAAGGCTTTACACAGCCTCAACTAGAAAAAAAAACTCTGACCGGCTTTCCCTTTTTTTTTTTATTCTTTTGAAAATATTTGACGTCGTTTTTTTTTTTTTATTTTTTTGGTTTATTATCAAAAGGTAAAAAACCGTTTTTTTTTAACTAAATATTTTTTACAATTTTGTGTGACTCCAATTTAATATAATATGAAAAAATTTTTTTGTAGTTATTTTATTAGTAATTATGACCGATAAAGAACCTACTCCTCTTTCTCCTATCGCTAAAGAGATTGAAGAAAAAGCCGTAAAGGTTAAGGAAAATCTTAAACATGTAGAAACCAATGAAAAAAATACATTACCTACTGCTGCAGGCAAGTTATTCTTTATTATTTACTGCGGATTTATATTTATTAAAAAAATTAAATTAAATTCCATTCCATTCCAATTATAGAAATCGAAGCTGCAAAGAAAGAAGCCGAAAATAAATAATAAATTATAAGATAAAATTTTTTTTTCCTTGTCAACGTATATGTATTTTTCAAATATATTTGAATATTTTACTCTAGATTTTATTAAAATCATAATTTTTTGGTTTTTCCTACGTATGAATTTGATTTATCAATTTTTTCGAATAAAAAATTAAATTACAATTGGGAAATATATTTTCCGTTTTTTTTTTTTATTTAAGAAATCATCATATGAGAAAATTATTTATTTAAAAATAACATGGGATTTCATATTTTTTTACAAAGAACTTTTCTTGAAGGTTGGAAGTTTAAAAAGGAATAAACAAAATATTATACTTTTTCGGATTCAATAATGATGAATTAATAGAATTAATAGGCCTTGACTAGAACTTGAAAAAAATCGTAACCAGAAATATTATTCCCCTTTAATTTTATTTACTTTTTTACACACCCAAACCCGCTAGAAATTTATAAAAAAATTTCCTTAAAAGGAAATTCAAAAAATTCTTAATCTCACTGCAATGAGACACCCACACGGAAACCTTTAGTAAAAGGCGAAAGGTTTATACGTTCTGCAAGTATCTCGTGAGAAATTATGAGGGATTTAAAACGGGTTTTGCTCACATATTTATATTAGAAATCAAAATTATGGGATTGACGATCGTCATAAGTGACGTTATTTGGCGTTGTAGTGATACAGAAATTAGTGAAGTACAGTCACGTGAAATTATATACAACGTGACAAATTGCGTAGTATTAAACTTTAAAACGCTTTCTATTTTTTTTGTATATTTTTAATGAAGCGATATTTGCAAATTTATATATATTAAGAAATAAATTTAACTATTTTAATATTATTGTTCATAATTCAGTATTCATAAATCTTTTAGTAAAATAATATAATTTTCAAATTGTATTAAAGTTATAAATTTAATTAAAATTTTTTTATTTGAAGGCTAATCATTATAATTTCTAAAAATCAAAAATAAATAAAATAAAATACAAAAAAATTTCTAATTGTAAAAGTATAAGTAATAATTTTTTATATATATTTTTTAATTTTTCATATAAAATTATTAAGTATATTACTTTATATATAAATATTTATCATTTTAACATTTTTATTTTTAATTATATTTTTAAAAATTGATTTACTTTTAATAAAAAAATATTTATGATATTTTAGTAACTTTTATATAGTTTAAAAAATGTTAATTTTATTATATATTACTAAGTATTTTTTATAAAATCTGATAATTTATGATAGGGTATTATATTATATACATTGTATCACTAATTATTAATATATTTTTTAGTACTATTCTTTATTTATTTAGTTTAAGCATATATTATGTGATTTTATAATCCTAGTAATAAAAAGATAATTAAAATTAATTATATAATTATTTTATTTAAAAAAATTTTATTTATAAAAAAATTATTTATAAAATATACAATTAAAAATTAAATTTATTTTAATTACTATATATTTAAATTAATTAATATAAATTAAAATTTTATAATAAAAATTTAAATAAATAATGAATTAATTCATTAATAATATAAGTTTTTATTTTTTTATAAAAATTTTAATTTATACTTTTTTTTTAATTATAAACTTATATTAAATTGTATTATATTATTTTATTAAATAATATTTATAATTTTTTTTATTACTTATAAAAGATTTTAAATCCAATTAAAATTATTTATATATATATTTATTTATTTTTCATTTTTTTTTAATATAATTTAAAATTATTTTTTTAAATCAAAAATTATAATAATTTGTTTTTTATAATTTATTATTAAAATTGCTTTTTAAAAACCTATAGTATTTAAATCTTATAAATTCATTTTTAAACTATTTATTTTTGTAAATTTATTAATTTTTTTATATATTTTTTAATATTTTAAAAAAATTTTTATTTTTATAATTTTTAATTATAAAAATTATTTTATCAAATAAAATTATAAAATTATAATTTTATTAAAATAATGATTAATCTAATTAATTTATTAAATTTCTAAAATTTTTATTTTCATTAATAATTTTATAATAATAAAATATTTAAATTATAAAAAATAAAATTTTTTAAAATTAATTAGTTTTATAATTAAATATAATTAGATTATAAAAAAAGTTTTATTTTTATTATTTATAAAAATAATTAATTTATATAATAAGTTAGTTAAAAATCATATATTTATTATATTGAATATATTAATTAAATTAAAATAATAAATAAATCATATTAATTAATTGGCTAATAATTATATATCTTTATTGAATTTATAATTTTTATCTTAAATATAAAGTTTTTATTGAATTATTATTCTATGATTATAAAATTATATAAAATCAAGTATTTATTTTCTTTAAGTATTTTTTTTTTTTTTAAAAAAAAAAAAAAATTATATAATTATGTATTTAATTAAATTATTCATTATATAAAAAAAAAAAATTAACTTAATTTGATAAATAGTTACTTCAGATAACAGATTAATATGGTTTTGGGAAATGAATTAAATCGTGTAACCGTTCCCTGTTTATACAATGTCCTATTGTGATACGACATGACAAATTAGCAATAAAAAGGACGTAAATTCTGATGTTTTTGTTTTTTTATATATATATATATATATATATATATTTTTATTTTATTTTTTTTTTTTTTGTAACTCAAGATGTCCGATTTTTCTAACGAAAAATTAATTTATACACCTTGTTATTGTGAAGAGAACGTGTATCATTTGTGTAAAGCATTTGGCAAATTAGATGACGTTTATGTTTGTTTCATTTCTAATGAAAATCGCTCGGTAAGTTATAAAAAAAAATTGATTTTTTTTTTTAATTTATTTAATTTTAAATGTGATCCTTTTTTAGATTCCAATATGGAAACAACGTGCTTCAAAACTTCCTGATGGAATTGTAATTTGGGTAAATTTTATTTTGTTATAAATTTTGATTCGTAACTTTAAACTTTGATTGATTTATAATAATCATCTTTAGGATTATCATGTGATATTGCTAGTAAAAGAAATGTCAAATTCAACAAAGTAATTTCCCAAAAACGTTTTTCTTATTCATTCTTTCATTAATTATAAATTCTTTATTGGATTTTTAAGAGTTTATGATCTTGACACAACACTTTCTTTCCCATGCGATTTCTCAATTTATGTGCAAGAATCTTTTAAAACACTTGATGATCCACAATATTATAGGTAGATTTATTTTTTTTTTTTTTTTTAAAAAAAAAAAGAGGGGAAAAAAATTTCATATCCAGATGTTTTATTGGATTTTCTAGAAAATATCGTATAATCCCTGCTGAAACCTATCTAAAAATCTTTGCATCAGATAGAAGTCATATGGTAAGTGAAGTTACAGTTTTTTTATTCTTGAAAAAGATTTTTTTCATGAAATTTCATTCTTATAGATTAAAAAGGATGGAACTTGGTATGCTTCTCCTCCTATTTATTCACCCATCTCTACTTCAGGTAAGTCATAACTTTTTAGAATCGCAAGATATTAACATTATGTATTTGACATATTTTTATTATTATAATTTTTTTATCTTTTTTTTTTGTTTATTTGATAGAATCTGTAAATAATTTACCATCCTTTATAAATATGATCGAGAACGTGGATTCAAAAGATTTTGGTTTTGTGCTAGATGATGATGGTTTTAGAAAATATTTTTAATTTTTTAATTTTTAATTTTTATTTCACGGCACAAAGAAAATTTGCAGATCATCATGACTAGTAAATCTTCACATGTCATGAGTACTCATAAAAAGTATTCATAAAATATATAAAAAGAATTCGTAAATTCGTAGATTTGAAAATATGATTAAAAAAAAAAAAAATTTTTTTCCTTTTTTTAACGAAAGAAATTATGATCATGACTTTTTTAACATTTACCTCACTCGCTTTATTAGTTACAGCATATTTTACTGAAACTTTAGTGTTTATTGGTTTCATGCTACTCGTTCCAATTTTATATGTCGCAAATTTTTATTTCCGTTATAAACGTTATAAAGCGGCTACACCATGGTCAATTCAAGACAAAATTGTCGTAATAACAGGAGCTTCAAGTGGGATTGGAGAAGCACTTGCTTATGAGTTTGCTCGACAAGGTGCAAACTTAATTCTTTGCGGACGTAGAGTTGATTCATTGGCAAATGTAGCAAAAGAATGTAAAGAAACATGTGGTGCAAAAAATGTAACAATTCAAAAAGTTGATGTAACAAGTGAAACAGATGTAATGCGTTTTGTCGCAAGCCTTGAAGCGTCTCATAATAAGATTGATTGTCTCGTACTTAATGCCGGCGTATCGATGGGTGAAACCTTGGAAAGTGTTGAAGACTTTGAATTAATTAAAAAGATTATGGATGTGAATTATTTTGGTGCTACAATGCTTGCTTTTAATTCGTTACCTCTGCTGAAAAATGCTGAAAAACCTCGTATAGTTGTTAATTCCTCTCTCGCCGGAATTATTCCCGTTCCCTTCAGAACAGGTTATGCGGGTTCTAAATTTGCTTTAAGAGGTTTCTTTGAAAGTTTACAAAATGAGCTTGTTGATGACAATATCTTCATTACAATGGTTTATCCGGTAAATTTTTTTAAGAATTTATTTATTTAATTTTTTTTTCTTTTTCGTTTTTCTTTTTTTTTTTTTTTTTAAAATAAAATCATTTCATATTTAGGGTGTCGTAATGACTGATATTAACAAGAATCGATTGGGAGACAATCCAATAGCACTCGATTTTAGTAATGCAATGCCTTCTGACGAATGCGCTAAAATCATCGTTGATGGAACGGTTCAAGGTAAAAAAGAAATAGTTTTTACAGCTATTGGTAAATTGGGTAGATTAATGGAAGGTGTTTTTCCCGATTTAATATCATATTTATCTTATTCACAAACAAAGAAATTTATGTCTGAAGAAATTATCAAAAAAACAAGTTGATCTTAGTTTATTATTATAGATTAGATTAATATTATTTTTTTTTTTTATCTTTTTAATTTATTTACAAATCCAATTATACAAATAAATTTTAATTTTAACTACAATAAAACGTCATGAATTTACGCGTGAAGATATCCCAAATGCGAAGATCGTTTGGGATTTTGATCCAAATGATCATTTGGAATATCCCAAATGAACCTTTCGGGCAATGTAAAGCTGCTGGACCCTCTGGTATTTCAAATGAAGTGATGGCACACGTTGGAGACGAATTACAGCACGATTGATCTGCATGTGTTTCACAAAAAAAAATTATACATAAATTTTATATCAGAACAGAAATTTTGACTTCAGATAATTTTTGTATTCTTGAAGCCCTCTTACAACAATGATATAATTAATAATCTTATGCATTTTATATTTTCACATGCAAAGATTAATTATAAAATTAAATTAAATCGTGAAGTAGTCATTTGGGGATTGGTCGTTTGAAGTGTTTGATTTGGGACATTGTCCGAAATGCGCATTTGGGATATCCGAAATGATCATTTGGGACATTGTCCGAAATGCCGAAATAATCATTTGGCAAGCGAATATCCCCAAACGATCTTCGCATTTGGGATATCCAAATGCTCTCTTCGGACATTAACGCATTTGGAGATACAAAAAACCAAGTTAGGAAAAAGGGGTATTTGTTGAAAATTTAGATTAGTGACACGTGCTGATTTCGGTTGTCACATTATATGTGCCCGCATTTACAAATTATTTGTCTTGGAAAATGTCCAAGGTGAAAAGTACGTTAGATATAGTACGTTTTAACATAAAAGAACGATATTTTTCATTTATTATTAAGTAAATATCGAATGCAAAGACTATTGCGTATTCGATGTCCTTTTGCAACATTTCGTGAGCGTGTCGAAAATGATAAACGTCAAGGGAAATTTCTATCGACTCTTAAAAATGTCTATAACGATTTATTTTTACCCCTAAATCATTTATTTAACCATGCATTATTGAGTAAAATGGCTTGCTAACCATATTGTAATTCGTTTATTAAAAAGAAGTTGCACATGAAAAAAGGACAAGAACCTATCCAAAGGTTTCCTCTTTATTGATCTACCTTTAACATTGACAAAAAAAAAAAAAAAAAATAATCAACCGAAATAAATTTAAGTGATCGAATATCAAATATATAAAAAGTATTAATAATGATACTATAAAGTTACCTTTGGCGTTTCATTTCCTGCATAGCGAGGTGGCGGTCTAATATAAGGCACGGGAACAGAATGTTCATTAAACCAATCTTTCTTGTCGTAATCTTGATTTGGAAGATACTCCTGTTCTTTTCTGTAAATTGGAAAGAAAACGCCCAACTCCCAATTATTAATTCTTATTTGCAATTCCTTTGTTTCTCGTGACGTGGTAACTTTTCCCCTAATAATTCGTTTCATCAACGAGAAAAAAAAAATATATATATTTCTTTCTTAACAATTCTGGTATAATCGCTATATTTAATGCGACGCAAATTCTTTCTTACCAAGCCGATTCGGAAAAATTATGACTCCTGTACCGAAAAAGAGGTATAACATTATAACAACAGTTTATAAAAGCGTTCTTAATCAGATCGTATCATACCCGCAATAATACCATCCTCCTGCATTCTCTTGTGATTCAACATTTAATGGCATGTCATTAGGTTTTTCCCGAAATTGAGCCAATGCAAACTGTGATAAATCTCTCCAGTCAAAAATCATACATGATGCGACATAATCTCGTTACTAAAAAGTAAGTTTGTTTTACCTTTGAATGCATCAACTTTCCATCCCGTTTAGAAATGCAATTTCTGAAAATTAAAAATAAATTGAATATAATAATTAAAAAAAAAAAAAAATCTTTTTTTTTTTTTCAAATAACCTTAAAACTTCTTTGGGAAATGTATCTTTGTTGTATGCTTTTTCGGAAAGGCATATTGTCGACGCAATTGCAAGTTTCTCCTATATTTTCATGAGAAATGATAATTTTTTTTTTTTACATTTGAGAGAATGTGCCAAGAAAAAAAAAACCATAACAACTGATAATATATACCGAATATTCATATTTTGACTCGTAAACAACTTTACTAGAAGGATATACTACGGTGATTGGAGGCAAAGGATCAACTTCTCCTTTTTTTGGTCGAGGACGGCTTAGAGCTGAAACAGGATCCAGTCCCCTTGCGGATTGGTAAAATTCAACCAAGTATTGTTTATTAAGACTGCCGATCGAAGAACTCTTGAGAGCGTTTTTTTTTTTATGAATTTTTAATTGATCAGATGTGATGAGCATTAGTAAAGAAGTAATGAATGAAAAAAAACATACTTGAAATTCTAATTGAACATCATCACGACTTCCGCATAATTCTTTAACTGCCTTACATATGCGTCCATGCCCAAACCTTTTGATATTTTCCATTCCTTTATGAATACCAGGAATTGAAGGAATGAGAGTTGCCTTTTTTTTTTGCAAAATAATTCATTAAAAGGGTTTTTAAAATAATTCAACTTTTTACATTTGTTGATCAAGGATTTACCTTTGACTTTGAGTAATCGTATTCTGGAAGAAGATTAACGATATGCGTTTTAAGTCCCATGGATACCAAGAAATCATTAATATCTCTAGCAAATCCTTGTAGACCGTTAAATTCTTTAGACTTATCACGAACAAGAAAATCTTGAATAAAGACCCCATTTTCACAAAGTTCCCAGTCTTGAGGAACCAAATTCCCGGATGAAATGACAACTCTCATCCATTTATCGAAAAACAATAACATTAATTTCGCATGGAAACATCCGAATCCATTTTCAGCCTTAGGCGCATGAACGATCAAATACTTTGTATTTGGGATACCATTCAATCCTTGCTTTAATAATTCAAAAAAAAAAAAAAAAAAAAAAATATTAATATTTGTTAAGAAAAGATAAATATTTGTATATGCATCAAAAAATTCTTCACCGATTCATTATCTTCCTTTCTCCAGTCTTTGGCCAAAACAATTTGCCGATTATTAGGTAACTTTGAGGATAACCATGCGAAATCAACAATCATCGAACTGAGAAAGGCTTGTTTAAGTATTGACTTTTCAAATAAATCAAATTATTTAAAATTTTTATTAATAAAAATAATAATGAACCTTAGGCGAGAACAAATAAATTAAATTCGATAATCAGTCACCTTTTGAATCAAATCATCAAATTTCACGTAATTATCCCCATCGTGACCTGGTATGTATGTAAGTTTGGTGACACCTTCCAAGTATCGTGGAACTATTTTTTTGAAAATATTTATTTGGCATAAAACACCACATTTCTAAAAGGAGAAAAAAAAAATCAAACGTATATTAACGAACGAATGATAGATTATTCCCGTACCATTGTTCGCCATTCTTTGTGATATTTGATAATTTAAACGATTTTTTTTTTTTTTTGAAAAAAATGTTAGATTTACGAAAACATAAACAAAAAATTCCGAGATTTTTTATACAGGAAGATCGTGTAACAATCACAATGAGACGACGCAGTATCCCGTTTATTTTTTTATTTATTTATTTTTTTTTTTTTTTTTTTAACAAAATATTGATTCAATTATTCAGAAATAGTAGAAATAGTTCAAATACTTTTTATTATAAAAAAAAATATTCTTACACATAAAATAAAAAAGCTCTATTTTCAACGTTCATGTAATCAATAAATTTTCTAATCGTTAGTTTTATGGTGAATAATATAATCAACCACATAAATATGTGGATTGCAATTATAGCAACCAAAAGAAATGACATACAAATAATAAATAACAAACAAAATTCAATTGAACCATGAAGTTTCCTTGCATAAATTCTTGACCAGAAATATCCAAAATATTTATCAATACTATCTAAAAGTTTTAATGTATTTGATAAGGTTGCTTTATTATCATATAATTCTGGACATCTAACATTAGATATTTCAATAGGCAATGGTAATATGTCATTTGTTAGATGAAATTTTAAAATGTTATTAAAGATCGAATCTGTAAAAATAAGAAATAAAACAAAAAAAAAATTATTAATAATTTAAAAAGAAATCGTTATATATGTATATATATATATTTCTAACAAACCTGGTATAATCGGTTGAAAAGGAATGACATCATTATACAAAATTCCCGATTTAATGTGATAAAATCTTATCAATGGAATGCATTTCTTTAATTTCATTTCAAGTTCGATAAAATCTTCAACCTCCCAATCTTCCACCTTAAACCTGTTTAACTTTCTTGGAATTTGATTAATCCCCCATTCTAAAACTTTTTCCCAAATCTCAATTTCATAAAGATGTAAATTATCATTTCTTAAGCATGACAAGAGAATCTCTTCGGGTAGTTCAAGAAAATAATGGGAATTAAATATTTCCGTTGGATGATTTTCAATTAACATGGTAAAATGTCTTTGGAGGATTTGAAAATGTGGAAATTGTGTTGTAAGGTTATAAATCCCGACTAAATTGTCAAGGAAAAAATTGATACAATCCAAGGAATCACAAAGTTGTTTTTGCGTATGATCAATCAATCTACCAAGACAAAGCTCATCGGCCGCTATAAGTAAATCAAAAAGTAAAGGTGGAGGGATTGATTTATCTCTTGGAAGTGTTTCTGTATATATGAACCTGAGGAGGAAAAAAAAAAAAAAAAAAAAAATGTTATTTTCATAAAATATTATAACTTTTTTGATCAAAGAAGACTGACTTACTTGAGGATGATTTCAAAGACTTCGGGAGAAACGTTTGGTTTATTTAAAATGAAATAATTATCTTCCTTCCTAAGCCACCTACCTGACAAAGCACTTTCGAAATATGTACAACTTGTTTTCAAGGTGACAGAATGTGCATAAAACTTTTTATAATTTGGACCCTCCCCAATATGTAAAATAACATCATAATTTGGATTTGTTGAATGTGGTTCTTCTTTAAGATATTTACTAACATTATTAAAAAGATTTTGCACAATTTTAGACAACATTAGTATTTTTTTTTTTTTTTTTTTTGAAAGATAACAGGAAAAAAAAGGAAAGAAAGTGATATTTATGTAAAGATGAACTTGATATCTATAAATGTTTGTGATTTACAATCAACATGTGAAACAGTTTATACAAATAAACATAAACATTACTTCAGGTTTTTTTTTGATTGCCATCAGAAAATAGCCGCAAATAGGATCTGCATTTCTTTTTTTCGCTCGTCGTCCTTTTTCACACCAAATCAATACGATATGTAAGAGTAAGATTTAATAACTTTTAGATTAGTAAGTAATTTAAAAATTGCCTCCTTTATAAGCTTTAATCGTCTCGAAGTGTTTCTCATTAAACAGATTTTTATTAACCATTGTCCTTCGAATTGGTCAAGAAATTGGATAAAATTCCTTAAAAATCCTAATTGCTGTAAGGAAGATATAAATAAATAAGTAAATAAATGATCAAAAAAAAACATGATGTTGTGTTACATAATTGAAGTCGCACAAATAACGTAAGAAACCGATTTATTTATCCGCAGTTGGTGTTGGTGGTTGTAACAAATCATAAATCGATCTTTCTTTCTCGAATATTTTCCGTTTTACAAAAACAAAAAAAAAAAAAAAAACGTTAAGAGAATTTTTAAGCGCGATTTTGATGCAAAAATGTCAAATGGTATTTTGACGTCTAGGTTGATGGAAGAACGTAGACTATGGAGAAAAGATCATCCTTATGTGAGTTGTTTTTGTTTGGTTTGTGACGACCTGACCTTAAATTCAACAAATCATACGTGTTTAGGGATTTTATGCTCGACCTCAAAAGAATAATGATGGTTCTTTAAATATACGTGTTTGGGACGTTGGAATACCTGGTGTAAAAGGTGTAAGTGTTTTTTAAAAGATGATCGTCGAAACCACTGTTCTTTTTAGTGAAGTTTTGAAATAAATGATTTAGACCCCTTGGGAATATGGACTTTATAAACTTACGATCTCATTTTCCGAAGGTAAATCATTTTTAAATCATTTTATCATGTATAATTACGTTTTATTGATCTATTTATTTTGTTTAGATTATCCTATAAAACCCCCTAAATGTACGGATTTAAGATTAAGATCAGAGATTGAATGATCATTTTGAACAAATTTCCTTTAATATTTTTTTTTCTAGGTAAGTTTAGCCCACCTTTATTCCATCCCAACATTTATCCTTCTGGAACAGTTTGTCTATCGATTTTAAACGAGGAAGAAGGTTGGAAACCTTGTATTACCGTTAAGCAGGTAAAAATTTTTTTTATCAAATAAGATCTTTTTTACAATGTAAATTTAATTGATTAACTAATTTTAGATCGTACTTGGCATTCAACAACTCTTAAATGAACCAAACCCAGCAAGTCCCGCTCAAGCAAAAGCTTATGAATTATTCATGTAATTTATCAAATAATTTTTTTGGTGTTTCTTATCATCATGATTACCTTTGCTAAGTATTACTCATATGCAGAAAAGATAAGGTAGAATATGAGAAGCAAATCAGGCGACAAGCTAGAGCAAATTATATGAGGTAGCTTTATTATTATTATTATTATATTCAACTAACTTGTCAGAAAATTCATCATCAAATATCAATGATTCTATTTTTTAGCTAGAGATAATCGATCACCATACAACATCTAATTGAAAGTCTTGCCAATTTCGTTTATTAATGCAGGTTATAAACTTTAAGTACAAAAACGAATAAATGTATTATTAAAAAGTTAATTTTTCAATTACTATCGACTTTTTTTTTTTTCTAATCACTTCCGTAAATACATTTATCCTTTTGAGAAGTCGGTAATTTTATTCTTTCGAACGTATATATAAAAGTCCAAAATTTGGGAAACGAAAAATTTCAAATGGCCATGAAATGCTAGCCACAATCCGTTTAAGTTATTTGTATTGTCAGTAGATAAAGAACCCAATAAGTATATTAACGGAGGGGAAAGGGAATTTTCAAACATGCGAGGAAAAAAATAAAGTAGTTATTTAAAATTTAATTTTTCTTGATAATTAGTTTACTACCCCGAAGGTATAGGCATGTATTGCAAGAATCCACTCGACTTACGGGGAAGAAAAGTTATTATGAAGAGTTTAAATTGTTTGAGGAAGAGAAGAGCGTAAAGGGATTATCGCAAGGATAATAACCTATTCCTTTGGGCCATATTCTTTTTTTTTTCGTATTGTGCCGGAATTGCATTCTCAAATATGTATCCTTACAATTTCGGTCTTCTTGCATGTTTGTATTTTTGCGTGATTATAATGCTTAATATTTGCGCTTGACCTAACCTCCGTTTCGAAACGATAACGATGTTTCAATATATTACAAAAAAGATCTAAAGGAGTCTGTCAAGATTATTCTTTGACTAGATTATTTATTATTATACATCTTTTGGTGTATGTAATTCACCTAATTATATTTATTCACATAATGCTGTGTGTATTCTGTAAAAACGGTAAAAAATGCCTTCGCAAAGTTCACTAATGAAAGGTCATTCTTTCGTTGATCTTTTTTTTTTAATATATAAGAACCCACATATTAAAGCATCGCTAATTCCCAATGGATTTAAGTTATTTTTTTTTTAAAAAAAAAAAAAAAGAAAAAGAATAGACTACGTTTTATTTTATTTTATTTTTTTTTGAATTCGTTAGTCTTAAGAAAAGCATAGCAAGATGATCTGTCAACTTGGTAAACGCAAATTATTTTAATTCTTTTTTTTTTACGATTAAATCACGTTTCCTATATCAGATATATAGTCGGAAGCGTTACCTTTAAATAACATGAAAGTTTAATTATATTTATAGAATATATAATAATTTATTACTTCGTGTATAAATAGTGCGGATAGTTGTTTCACTGTAGTTATATTGATGCAAACAATTATTCTTTTTATGATTTAATCATATCAATATACAACAATTAATATAATGCTAAAATTTGGAAACGAACGTAATATGCATCGTTCTTTCCCTCCCATTTAATCCAATTTCTTTTTCCTTTCAAAATCCAATTTTTGTAGTGATAATTTAATCCAAAGAGCAATACATTATTATAAAAGTAAAAATAAACGCAATAAACAAAATTATTCTTTTTTCAAATCATCCTTACTCTTAAACCCATTCAAATTTTTTTTTTTTTTTTCAAAAGTCGAAATACTTTGTATCCTCAGGGTAAATTTCTCTGACTTTATCTCCTATGATCTCCAACGCAGCTAAATGACCGCCATAAAAACTAGAAATCCCCACATCAATAATATACACTTTTCCATTAAAATTTGACACGATATTCTTCATACAAACAGTATGCCCAACTACCATCCTTTTAACCTATAAATCAATAAAAAAAAAAAAAAAAAAGTTGAAGTTATCATTATTATTAATGATTTGATTAAGAAACATTCCGAGTATCTGTTTAAACAAAACAAACCTTTAACACTTCCAAGACTTTATCCAATTCCTCTTCGACCTCTTTAGTGCGATTGATGTATTCTCTGTGCCAAAATGGTCCATCACCTTCAAGGAGGTCTCTCTCATCGTTCGTCATAAAATCATCCTTCTCGGTAAATTTTCCTGTTTCTTGCATCTCAGGATCACACAAACATTCTGTATATTTCTTAACTAAACTCGCGCCAAGTTGATTCATTTTTTCAATACCTTCATTTGCCCACTTTAAATTAACGCCTCCATGAACAAATAATGTATCTTCAACAATTGCGGCAACTTGTAAAGAGGATCCGAAGAACTTTCCAATAAACCCATCGGAAGAGAATTCAATAATCCGATTCTTTCGTGATCCGAAAGATTCGATATCTTCGGGTGTTACGTGATCCCAATCTAGCTCAAGATTCATGAATTCATGATTACCGAAAAGATTAATCACCTATAATAAGACAATAATCATAACATAAATCCATCAGGTTGTTAGCTGGAATAATTCGAAATATTTATTAAGACGTTCTACCATTCCTCCTGCTACTTTAGCCTCTTTTTGTAACCTTTCAAACAATTTATAAATTTTTAAACAATCAGGACCTCGATCCACTATGTCCCCCTGTAAATAATTATAAAATTCATTGGAAATTAGTTTATTTGAAATCCGAGAAAAAAATCTATTAGAAATTTAAGAGATATAACCGTTTGCACTAAGATTCCATTTCCGCCGCTCCATTTTATCTTATCATCAATAATGTTAGCCAAATTCAAGACTTTAATTGTTTGTTCATAGTCTCCATGTAAGTCGCCTATTGCAATTATTCTTCGAGGCGACGGTGACGACGGTAAGGGTGATTTAGACGGTTTAATTCGACGAGTGTCTTTTAATTTATCTAGCTTGATGGATTTAGAACGATGTAAATTTCGACTAAAAATTCTTTAGCATTCGAAGTATAAGAATTAAAATTAGGTCATGAATATTTTAAAATTATTTGTACCTCAGCGACCAAAAGTAAAAAGGTACTATGGATTTGAGGTGTTTATATCTTTTATAAGATTTTAAAATTCTTGATGTATTCCTTGCGATAAAAAGTTTCTTCTTGACCATGTTTGTTTTTTTGTATTTTTTTGTTTATTTCGAAAGAGATGGTTACAAGGAAGAATTTAGAAAAAAACAAAAAAGCAAGTGATATGGCCGAAAATGATGATAAACATTAATTACTTGGATCAGAAATTCATCATATTCTCATATGCTAAATAAGTTAAAAATATTTTACCATATAAAATTTAGCGTGTTTACCCGTCAAAATATGTCACCCAATGCAAATAGGTTTCACAACCGAAAATTTGTGGGGATGATAATTATATCATGTGATCTTTCATATGGTTAAAAAGCTGTAGATCAAAAAAAAAAGAATTTACACAAACATATTCTTTGCCAATTTCTAGGCATCGTATCATGAATAACCCTTACGGCTTCGAAGACAAACGTGTCTATGTGTTTTTGGATCTGTTGGATCAAGCCACAGATAGACAAAAAGAAGTACAACTAAGATTAGATGCTTTGAATTCTCTTAAACAATTAGTCGGAGAACAAGTTAATATATTACAACCTGATTTATTATATAGAATTAGTGGTTTTTTACGAGATTCTGTAAATGAAATAAAAGAATGGACCGTAGAATTTATGGAGTTTGCTTTTATGAAAATTGGATTATCACGGACATTACGGAAAGATAGTATGTTACTTTTTTGATTTCAACTGGAAATTTTATTTCAAAACACCTACTATTATTTTTTCCTTTTGAAAAAAAGACATTTGAGCTGTAGTAATAGGGAGAGTTTTCTTTTTTTTTTTTTTAAAGAAAAAGAGATTTCTTTTAAATATTTTACTTTAGAATTTGGGGTGAAACGAGCAAATTTTAAATAAATAAAGAACTTTTTTTATGTAAATGAAAAAAAATAATAATAATAAATTAACAACTTTAATAACTTTATGAAATAAATATTGTATGTATATTATTAAATCAGGTTTAGATAAAGTATTACCTTCCATAGGATATATTATCAACTACGAATCTTCTCCTGCTATAATTAAAAAAGCGATACTTTGGAATTCTTCAATTTATCCATTAATATTTGAAAGAGTGTGAGTTCACTTGATGCAAATATTTTAATTATATTTTTTTTTTAAGTACAATCATGAAAAAAAAAAAAAAAAATTCAATTGACTAATTTTTAGATCAAAAATTTATTCTATTGAATTATTTTTTTTAAAGAGCTGAAAATACATTAGATTCCGCTTCCCTTTGGAAAACTTCTTCATCAATCAAGTCTCAAATTATGAGGTTTTTTGATTCGGAAAATACGAATCAAGGCATTCGAATTTGTGCTGTCAAGTACTTTGCAACTGTCGCAAAAGTTCAATCTCGTCGAATGCCGGATTCATTGGTAATTTTAAATTTAATTTAATATTTGATTAATCGTAGTAGAGAATAATATTAATCTTCAGATTATTTATTCAATTTGATTAGCCTAGACCCGAAGAAGACTTTTCTTTGTCTAATTGTCAACCTTTACATCCCGTATTGGATTTACAATACCTTGAAAAAGAATCAGTGTCAATTGTTAATGGATTGATGATGATGATGCGAACCGAGTTAGTATAGATCAAAGAGGAAACCGTGTCATTTTTTAATATAATTTTATTAATGTATTTTTCTTATGGTATAGGTCAAGCAGCGTCATTACGGCTATAATTAATGCATTTGGACCTCTGTTAAGAGCAAGACCACAGTATGTTTCAACATTCGTAAACAATGTGGTATCATGGACAAAAATCCCGGAAAAAAATTTGCGTTTAAGCGAGTTTCAGATAAAAAGTGTTAAAAGATCGATGAAGGTGCAAATGATGGCATTATTAAGGTGATTAATTTACTCGAAAATTAATGTTGTATATATTGACGTATTAAGAATGATTTATTGATTTTAATTTACAATTTAAACAGAATACATGAAAATGCGCTTTTCGCTATGGAAATATTTAATGCTATAATTGTGTTAGGAGGCAAGAACGATCCCTCGAAATTTCCAAGACAATTTCGTAGGAATTTACAACAAAGAGAAGCTATGGAGGAAAATGGTCGTGGGGTTGCACAAAGGTTTCCGATCCAACAACAATCGAATATTAGTGTAAGTTATTATCAAAAAATCGATTATTTGAATTTAACAATATAATATTTCTTTTTCTAACAATAATTTACTTTCGATAAAAGTTTGATCCATCACAATTTGCTCTACCTTTTGTCGTGGAAGTCATTTGTTTGGTTTTGAAAACAATTCCGCAAGAGAGATTGAATCAAACGAAAAAGGTTTATAGAATATTACTATTTTTATTATTGAATTTTTATTTTGGTTATCTAGGAATATACAGTCAAAGCTTGATAAGTGGAAACTTCTATTTTAATAGGAATAATTGAAAATCAGCATATAATTATTAGATTTCAAATGAAATGGTTCGTTATAATTCCTTTTACTGTTAATTGAATGATATCTATTAGGTTTTGACTGTATAAGCCACCATTAACTTACCATTTTAAAATAAAAGTATTATAACATTAAGCAGAATTTTATAATTATTTCCAAACATTTCTCGAAAAGCTATTTTTACATACAACATTACCATTTAAGAACGTGATAATACTATGTAAAATAAATTATTATTTAGAAATTTTTATAGAAAGATTTTAACTTTTTGTTTCATTTCAATGCTGTCAGGCAATACAAGAGCGAAATACAAGACAAGTAACAACATCGACCTCGCAACATGAAACATCAAAAATTCGTGATCAAAAGCCACGTGATCCACGTTTAGAAGAATTTACAGATGAAGAGATGGTGATAGAGGAGGAGGAGAAGGAGGAGGAGGATAAGGATGAGGAAAAGGATGAGGATGAGGAAAAGGATGCAGCGGAGGAGAAAGAAAGAATGATGGTTGATGAAAAGGACAGGTTGGAAAAGGTGTTAGATGAGATAGTTCAAGGAATAGTTCCTAATTCACCAACTCCACCTTCGGTAGAATCAGATTCTGATTTGTCAATGGAAATGGAAGTAGATAAAACTAAAATCGAACCTATACCTCCTCCATTTGAAGAGGACGTTTATAGTGATGATGTTGTCGTAGATCTACCAAAACCAGATATGATGGAAGAAATAACTCCAACTCCACCTGAAGTCGAATCAACACCAGAACCACAAACATTGCCTGTTCCTACTTTCAAATTTCAACCTTACGCACTTCCACCTCCCGAAACCTTGTCCCAAGAACATTCTATTTCTTTTATAAAAAATGCTTTTAAAAATATTTTGGATGTTGAAGCTGCATTATCTGCTGATGTGAAAGACAAACGTTCGAATGTAGTTCTAACAACTTTGTCTAATGGTAAAAGACTAACAAAATCACAATTACACATAATGGCTTCAAGGTTCTTAACTCGAGGCCTTGAAACTTATTATGAGAATGGTCACAAACAATTTGATGACTTGAGAGAAATGATTGTTCAATTTATACTTAAAGATTTCAGGAATAGGTTTATGTTTATGAAATTTATTATTATATTTTTTTTTTTTAAAAAAAAAAGAGAAAGGAAAGACATTCACAGATAATTCAAAATTTTTTTTTTTTTTTTATAACAGAACAGAATTTGCTTTAACGTGGTTAGATGAAGAATGGTATCATGATTCTATTATGTTACGTAAAGATCCTTCATATGTAAGATATATAAAGCTGATTCGTTTATAATACACTTTACGATAATTGATAATGATTTTTTTTATTTTTTTTCTGATTAAAATTCTTTAGCAACCAAACTACTCAATTTGGTTATGCAAATTGTTAGACAGAATCATGCCAGCTCTTGAAGATCATATATTTACGCAATTTCTACTGGATGTTCCTGAGTTATTTGAAGATGCTGTGGATCGAATAAAAATCTTTTGTAACGATCCTGATAGGTGCATTTTTTTTTAAAAAAAAATAATATATATATATTTATATAACTTTTCATCTAAATTGAATACTTTATACTTTATTTGTGTTTAGGAGTTCACTTGGATTCGCTACTTTAAGTGAATTGATTGAACTTAGACCACCAGCAAGACCATTTTGTTTAAAAATTTTGTTGGCATATTGTTTGCACAAAGGTTAGGATATATTGGGCACACGCATATGATCATATATTTGAAAACCGAC